GCGTGAGTTTAAGTCACCGGGTCCGGGACTCGAACCGCGGTTGACTACGTGGGAATCCAGCGACATAGCCATTATGCTAACTGCTGGTCCTGGTGTGAGTTTAAGCCACTGGGTCTGGGACTCAAACCATGGTCAACTACATGGGAGTCCAGCAACATAGCCATTATATCAACTGCTGGTCCTAGAAAGTAAAGTTTCTAGAACTTCAGGGAACCAGCAGTTAGCGTGATGGCTATGTCGCTGGACTCCCACATAGTCGACCACGGTTTGTGTCCCGGACCCGGTGGCTTAAAACTCACGCCGGGCGCGTGTGTGTGCGTGCCCAAGATCCCGAGAGGAGAATGGAGGAGAAGGGATTGTGGCGTGACCATCCCCCCTGGGGGGTGATTTCTCGCTTTCTGTCTCTATGTCTCTCTCTGTCTGTCTGGCGAGCGCACGCGCCCTACAGTGAAAATCTCTCCAAAAAAAAAAAAGTTTCTAGAACTTCAGAGAGTTTTCCCAGGAATGGGACAGACTTATGGAAGAAGTGGCTTCTTTTTTGTCTGCTGATGGACTTCAGATGGCGTGTAGTGGTCTACGGACCCACAGCAGCCTCTTTGCCATCTTGAGGACCTAAATGAGGGCAGGGCACCACTGACACTCCAGAGCAGAAGGCGAGGACTAGCCGGGGTCCCTGGCCCATCTCCAAGTTGCTGGGTCAGCCAGCCCCGAAGATCTCCTGCTGGTCTTCTGGTTCGGTGGATAAGTTGCTCTTATCAGCCTTTTGCAGCCTCAAGCTGGGTATTCTCTTATATGATTTCAAAGCTTCTGAACATTGTTCCAAGCCTGAGTTTCTCTGAGTAATTTTGTGAGCCAGAAGCTTTCAGATCATCCCCTAGTTCTGAGAGGGGAAAACGATCTCAGTTACAAGACTGTTAAAGAAAGGTACATGCACTAGATATGTCATGAGTAAAAAGATATAAATATGTAAGATAATTAGGTCAGGGCAGTGGGGTATCAGGACAAATAATGCCTCTTACCTTAGTTCTTGTGTATTAAGGGCTGACCTGTTCCAGGCCCTATCTAAGCACCACACCGGTTTCATCACACTGAGTTCTCTGAGCGGCAGCAACCTTAAAGACCTGCCCAGCCGAGGCTCGCCCTAGGGAGAAGGGAGGCAGGTGGCTTCAGAGCCCTCGACTGTTTGCCCCCAACCTGGGCAACCCCAGGACTCCATTCCTGTCCCTGGTGCCCTTGGCCCCTGGCCCCTGGGGACTCTGGGCCTGGGTCTGAGTCTGTGGGCACCTGGCCAAAGGCGTACTCTGGTCTCCCTCCCTGCCCGGGGTGGCGGCGGTGCTCGGTGAAGCAGTCTGTTGTTTACACGTCCTGCTCCATCCATCAGCTGGATTCATAAACACGACAGAGGCCTGGGAGCCGAGTGGCCCCATGGCCAGATCAGGGTCCAGAATAGGGGATCGCGCTCATAGGGGGCTGCCAATTGGTGCCTGGAGATTCCAGGCACGGCGGGCACCAGCAGGGTCTCTTGACCCGTGTCTCTCCCAGACTGTTGGGAGGTGGGGGTTACTCATTAACCTGGGGCACAGCCTGGCCGGTGCTTTACGAGGCCGGGTCTGGGTGAGCTGGGGTGAAGGGAGCCCACCTTGAGATGAAAATGTGCTCATTTCTGCTGAGCGAGTTGGTCCGACAGGGCGCAGGGCTGCTGGCCCGTCTGGGGCTGTGGATCAGTGGGCCTGGATATCTGAAGACCTCCACCTGCCTGGGCCTCAGTCCCCTCAGCTGTGCAACGGGACGGTGCCACCCTCATGTGTCTCACGCAGTGCAGTTCTGTAGTCCACAGGGCCCTGCCTCCGGGTTCTAGGGACGGGCGGAGGTCAGTGGGGAAGTTTGAGGCCGACTGTGTACAGGGGCGGAAGGGGGCGCTCAGCTGTGGCGCAACATTGTTTACTAACACCTGCTGGAGGTGTTCAGTAAAAACCAGCTGTTTCTGTTGGACGGTTTGTAGACCCCCACCTGCTCTCATCTTCACTGCAGTCCTATGAGGTGTACATGGGATGGCTCCTGGTTTACAGGTGAAGAAATTGTCTCAGGTAGAGAAAAGGTCTTGGCCAAAGTTACACAGAAGCCAAGATGGCTCCAGAGTCAGAACCTACCCTCAGCACGTGCACCCATACTCTCTGTGACACCCAGGGCCCTTCCAGGGACAAGTGGAGTGGAGACCTTCAGCCGCTCGGGCTGCCCTTTGGCGGGGTCCTGCCATCCGAAGGCGGGGTCTTTAATGCGTAACACATTCTGTGGCGGTGCTCTGTGATATTCTGCCCTATAGCCTGTGTGTTAATCATTGAGCCAGGCCAGTCTACAGACCCCCCCACCCCGCCACTTCCCTCTCTGGGGGTCAGCGGGGGCCAGACCACTGGGAGTGTGCGTGACCCTGAGACCACACTCCTCCCCACCCCTGGGAGTCCCCAGTGGGCTGGACTCACTCCCAGTCCTTGAGAGTTAATCAAGGTCGACTTGAAGTGTCGGTGCCCTTGACAAAGATACTGACCCCTTGGGAAACATACTCAGGGTCCTCCCAGTGCCGCATCTGCCGGCCAGGCAGTCACACCGGATGCTTGGTGAGTGCCTATTTCAGAGAGCTGCTGTGTGTCTGAACAGAAATAGGACAGGACCATGTGTCTGGGAGGGTGCATCTGGCCAGGCCACGTTGTCTGAGGTGCTCACACCCCACGGCCATATGTGCACCCACAAGGAAGGGAAACACCTGGAATTAAATTTAGAAATGGCAGCGGCCGCAGCAGAGTGGAAAGGGTCTGGTGGGCGGCAGGAATTTAGGTAGTGACTCCCCACATCTGTTTGCTCATTTCTGCCGAGCGAGTTGGTCTGACAGGGCTCAGGGCTGGGCCTGTCTGGGGCTGTGGATCAGTGGGCCTGGGTATCTGAATACCTCCACCTGCCTGGGCCTCAGTCCCACATGTGACTCCCTCAGTCTGCGACTCCCCCTGGGTGACCTCCAGCTAGCTTCTGGTGGTGCTCCCTCCCTGCAGCTGTGCCCCAGCCTGGCTCACTCTCACGTTGTCCCTTGGCCTCCTCAGGGCACGGCCTCCGTCCTCCAGCGCCGATCCCCCAACGAGGAATACGTGGAGGTGGGGCGCCTCGGGCCCTCCGACTACTTTGGTGAGTTGGATGGCCCTTCCCTCATATGACTGTGGCCATTTCATTTGGGGTCCCTGAAAGGACCCCAAGGTGAGGAGCTGTGTAGGGGTTTCCTGGGGGCTCTCAGGATGGGCCCTGTGGGGTACCTCAGCAAGTGTCCCCTTAAATTGAGGTCCTAGGACCAGATCTGAGATCTCAGAATTGACTCCAGGATTTGCCTACAGAGAGGGTGACCTTAGGTGAGGTGGCTTCCTGGGGCAGGTCCTAGGTGAGGGAGCAGAGGAGCCATCAACCACTCACATTCCTCTAGCCACCTGGACATACCTGGGCATACCTGGACACACCTAGACATTCCCATAGCTGGGGACACTGGGTCCTGAGGGAGGCCTTGACACACTTGGGCACACCTGAACATTCTCACAGCTGAGTGGGTGAGTCCTGGGCACACCTGCAGCATTCCTGGGCACATCTGGTCACACCTGGGCATTCCCATAGCTGTGTGGGTGAGTCCCGAGGGAGGTCTGGACACACTTGGAGCATTCCTGGGCACATCTGGGTACACCTGGGCATTCCCATAGCTGTGTGGGTAAGTCCTGAGGGAGGCCTAGATACATACACCTGGGGCATACCTGGGCACATCTGGGTACACTTGGGCATTCCCATAGTTGAGCGGGCTGGGTCCTGAGGGAGGCCTGGACGCACCTGGCGCATACCTGGGCACACCTGGACGTTCCCATGATTGGGCAGGCAGGGTCCTGAGGGAGGCCCAGACATACCTGGGCACACCTGGGCATGATCATAGCTGGGTGGGTTAGGTCCTGAGGGAGGCCTGGACACACCTGGGGCACATCTGGGCATTCCCATGGGGCACTGGGTCCTGAGGGAGGCCTGGACACACCTGGGGCACATCTGGGCATTCCCATGGGGCACTGGGTCCTGAGGGAGGCCTGGACACACCTGGGGCACATCTGGGCATTCCCATGGGGCACTGGGTCCTGAGGGAGGCCTGGACACACCTGGGCATACCTGGACATTCTCACAGCTGAGTGGGTGAATCCTGAGGGAGATCTGGACACACCTGGACATACCTGGGCACATCTGGGCACACCTGGGCATGCCCATAGCTGGGGGACTGGGTCCTAAAGGAGGCCCAGGCTGCACCACACAGTGCCAGCTGCACATAGGGTTGCCTGACGAAATGCAAGACAATGCCCAGCTCAATTTGCATTTCAGGTAGACAAAGAATAACCTGCTAGTTCAAGTGTATCCCAAATAGTTCACAGGACATACTTACACTACTTACTTATTTTTTCTTTTGTTTGAAGTTCACATTTATTTGGCATCCTGGTTGTTTACCCCAACAGCCTGGCTCTTGAAGGAAAGTAGTTTCCAGGGGGCCCTCAGTGTACCCCCAGGCCTGCTTCCTGACCACTTTCCCTTTGCCTTGCAGGGGAGATTGCACTGCTGCTAAACCGGCCCCGGGCGGCCACTGTGGTGGCCCGGGGACCCCTTAAGTGTGTCAAGCTGGACCGGCCCCGCTTTGAGCGTGTGCTGGGCCCCTGCTCTGAGATCCTCAAGAGGAACATCCAGCGCTACAACAGCTTCATCTCTCTCACCGTCTGAGCCCCTGCCGCAGCCCCGCCGCAGCCCTAGCTCCCCAGTGTGGTGGCTGCGTTATGCTCGTCTATCAGGGCAAGCAGGCCGGGGGGGCTGGTATCTCAGCAGCGGCAGGGACTGCTCCTTCCTCTGGACTCTTGGAAATAATCACCTTGTGCATTTCAAAAATAAAGGGCAAGTGGACAACATGCATCCCAAGACCAAGGAAGTGACGGTCCCAGGCCACAGGCCTCCCTCCTTGAGTTTACCTTAGGGGACCTACCCTGACCCCTGTGTGGAGACCAAGCTAACCCTGGGCTCCTGAGGAGGAGGAGGGGCTGCGACTGCCTTGATGGTTCTCTTCCCAGAACTGGTCCTGCAGATCCTGTGATGTGACCTAGACTTGGTCCGAGTGGGAGACAGACTGTGTGCAGCTGGGCCATCCCCAAAGGGACACTGGCTAAAGAGAGCAGACCCCCCACCACCCCCCTTCTCCCCAAGGGGCCCTGTCAGGGGTGCCTCTGGGTATTTATTAGGTTGATCCCTGCCTCTAACTGGAAGGCAAGCCAAGGCTCAGGATCAGGGGTCCTCACTTGGGGACCGTGACCCAGGTAGACCAGCATGAGGCCCACACTGGGAGATGGCATGATGTCAGTGGCTTGTCCCTATCTCTGCGGGATGTCCATCCAAGGTGGGCGGCACACTCAGCACTCACGGCAGGCCATGGTCTCCTTGCTGGCCGGACGCCCAGACAGGAAGGAAATGAGTTTGAGTTTGGGACTTTCCAATCCAGCGAGCCCTGCTCTGGGTGCTGCTCACTAAGAATCAGGGGAGCTATGAGCGAAGTCTGGCTCCATTTCTTTGTGAATGGGCTTCTTGGAGACCTTGTAAGGGAGAAGAGGGATTTCTTAAACATACTCTGGATAAACTTTTAAGAACCAGAGTCCCTTCTGAGCCATTCTCCAGCAGATCTGCCTGTTGTTGGACACAAGTCCCAGCTCCCAGTAAACCCGTGTAGTTCATTAGCCAAGCCTCTGAGGGGAAATGCATAAAAGTCAAGCCAACACACCTAGCTCAGCAGCTGACGTGTCGGCGGAAGTGTGTCTGCAGTCCAGTGGTGGTGAGGAGAGCTGGCCAGGCCCGAGAGGCTCATGGCAGCTCTGAGAGACCTGAAATATGCAGGGAAACCCCCAGCTGACCCGGTTCTGAACCTGCTGTGCACCTCCCGGGGGGAGGCTGTCCTTGGTTAGAGGTGACGCGGTACAGACCCCTCCCCCACCCAGCCCTGGCCTGTCACCTTGTCTTGCCTTTGCCCGTTGATGTCTCTGTGGACCTGTAAGCACTGCCCCTCTCTCTCGCTGCTCTGGATGCTGCATGAACTGTGGATATTAAATGTGCGGTGACGCACCTCTTCTTGACTTGGGAGGTTTTGGTCTGGAATCTTTTGTAGATAAGGAGGTGGGTTTTTTTTTTTTTTTTTGTTACTTTGCTTTTTTTTATTTTTGGTAAAATACACATAACAGAGGGATGGCATAATGGCTATGTAGCTGGATTCCCATGTAGTTGACTGTGGTTCGAGTCCCAGACCCAGTGGCTTAAACTCATGCCAGGCATGTGTGCATGCGTGCCCAAGATCCCAAGAGGAGACTGAAGGAGAAGGGATTGCGGGGTGGCCATCCCTTCTAGGGGGTGATTTCTCGCTTTCTATTTCTCTGTCTCTCTCTGGTGCACACACGCGCCCTATAGCAAAAACAACTCCAAAAAAAAAAAAAATACACATAACACAAAATTTACCATTTTAAAGTATGTAAGGAGTTTTCCAGGGATTCCTAGTTAAATTCATATTTTGAAAATCTATGCATGGATTTCTTTTGTTTACACCAATACACTTGCACTGTGATTCCATTCCTCATGAATTTTTGGAGGTGCCCTTGTGCAGTTCAGAGACATGGAGCACATTCCCATGCGCGGCCCTCACAGCCATCCATCTCCAGAACTCCGGATCTTCCCAAGCCAGAACTCAGCACTCATTAACCACTGGCTCTCCACCCGCTCACCCCCATCCCAGGCAGTCACCCTTCTGCACTTTATAACCCAATATCTACAGATCATTGTCGTGTCAACATTTTGATATAAATGAGGGTCCATACTGGCGGGACCATTGCCCATCCCTGGTGTCCAGTGGTGGCCGAGCCGCCAGGGACCCAGCATCTTGACTGCACTATAGGGGGCCCCGCTCACAGTCCCAGGGTGGCTGTTCCTTGTGGCTGCTCTCTGGGCCCGGAAGTGAACACCTGTTTCTGGGAGAGGTCATGTTTGGTCAGAGGCAGGGCCCATTTGACCTCTGGCCTCTTAAGAGCTGTAGCAAACTATGAAACTTGTACCAAAAAAAAAAAAAAAAAAAAAAAGAGCAATCCAAACAGAAGAGGTGGAACTGTGGTAGTGTGTGCCCTGCTGCTCTGGCACTGAGACAGGAAGATTTACAGTGTGATGGGACGCCAGGAACAGGAGGAGATCTTGAGGCAATTATTCTTAAACCTGACACTAAAAGCACAATCTTTAAAAGAGATATTTGATAAATTGGAATTCACTGGGATTAAAAACATTTGCCCTACAGAATAAGAGCTTGTAAAGTGATAAATTGGAATTCACTGGGATTAAAAACAAGAGCTTGAAAAAAAGACAAAAATCCAAACTGCAGATTGGGAGAAAATGTTGACAAGCCACATATCCCTCAAAGAACTAATATCTAGACTATGTATGAATGCTCAGAACTACAATAAAAAAGCAAATAATCCAATGCAAATATGAAGAGACATTTCACTGGAGAAGAGGTACAGATGGCAAATGAACTCATGCAAAGATGTCCAAGTCACTAGCCATGGAGGAAATGTAAATTAAAACCATAATATGACACAACCACACACTTAACAGGACGGCTAAAATAAAAAATAATGATAACACCCAATACTGGCAAGGATGCAAACAGGATCATTTATACATTTCTTATGGGAATGTAAAATAGCACAGCTGGAAACACTAGTTTGTTAAATAATAAAATAATAACAGTAGCTAAACTAAGCATGCAACTACTATGTAACTCCACAGTGCACTCCTGGGCCTTTATCCCAGAGAAATTTAGATATATGACATAAAACTTGCATACAAATGTTCATAGCAGAAGTCTTAGTTCATTTCCTGGGGCTATAACAGAACATCTGAGTCTGTGTAACATTGTGAGCAGGGATTTATTTGGCTCAGGGATCTGGAGGCTAGGAAGTCCAAGAGCATGGGACTGGCATTTGGCTAAGGCTTCTTCCACGGAGGAAGGCAGAAGGGCAAGAGTACAAGAGTGAAAGAACGCATCCTTTTCAACAGGAACTCACACCCACAATAGCTAGCCACTCCCATAATAATGTTATTAAGCTATTCATGAGGCAGAGCACCATGATCTAATCACCTCTTAAAGGTCTCACCTCTTAGTATCGTTACAATGGCAATCACATTTTCATTTATTTATTTATTTGTTGCAATTTTTCAAGCTACTGGGTCCAGGACTCAAACTGTGGTTGACCATGTGGTAATCCAGCACCTTAACCATCATGCCACCTGCTAGCCTGGCAATTAAATTTCAACATGAGTTTTGGAGGGGACAGACTTTCAAACCATAGCAGCAGCTTTATTCATATAGCCTCAAACTGGAAATAACCCTAATGTCCTTCAATGGGTGAAGCAGATTGTGGTACATCCATACATTGGAACACTACTCAGCACAAAAAAGGAATAAACTATCGATGCACCCAACAGCCTGTATAGAATTGCCAGAGTGCTGAGTGGAAGAAGACAATCTCCAAAGGTAACTCACTGTATAATGCCATTTCTACTGCAGTCTTGAAATGATGAAAATCATAGAAATGGAGCCCGGGCTCAGGAGGAGGTGGGTATGGCTATAAAAACGCAACAGGGAAATCCTTGTGGTACGGAAGTCTTGCACCTTGATGTGGTAATGTCAAAATCCTGGTTGTGGTCTTGTGCAAGGTGTTACCAGTGAAGGAACCTGGTAAAAGGTAAAGCCTGGCTCTCTGTATTTTAACTAAATGGACAAAAAGAAAGAGGCAGAATTTGAATTTAGTTTAGCCTTCCATCCATTCGTTCAATGTCCTTGAGGAATCATTTACATACGCTCAAATGCACTCACTTTTCATGTGCTATTGGATGACTTTGGACAGGCAATCACATCTGGGTAGGTAGTACCACAATCAAGACATGGAACATTGGGCCAGCAGGTGGTGTGGTGGTTAAGGTGCTGGACATTGCCACATGGCTGACCACGTTTCGAGTCCAGGACCTGGTGGCTTGCTTTCTCACTTTCCTTCTCTCTGTGTGTCTGTCTGTCTCTGGTCAAATTAAAAAAAAAAAAAAAATGAGAGAGGTTTTGGGGGTTGCGACCCTAGAGCACAGAGGTCCTTAGTTTGAAAATGGCGGCCTCGGCAGTAAGGGCAACCGTGGCATTGTGAACGGGTATTAGTCGTCCCATTGCTTTTGTCAGAAAGATTCCTTGGACCGCAGCGGCGAGTGAGCTGAGAGAGCACTTTGCACAGTTTGGGCATATACGAAAGTGCACTGTACCTTTTAGTAAAGAGACTGGCTTTCGCAAAGGTATGGGTTGGATTCACTTTTCCTCAGAAGAAGAACTTCAGAATGCACTACAACAGGAAAATCATATTATTGATGGCGTAAAACTCCACGTTCAAGCTCGAAAACCCAAAGTTTATCGAGGGAATCAAACATCGGATGAAGAGAAAGATTTCTGAGACTGGGGATATATACTCTATAGAATACTATCCCTCCATAAAAAAAAAAAAAAAGAAAAAAAAAAGGATAAATAAAATAAAATAAAAATTCTTTAAAAAAAAAAAAAAAAGACATGGAACATTTACATACCCCAGAAGGTTCCTCATATCCTTTGCAGCCAGTTTTCCTCCTCCTGCCCCTGGCAACTGCTGCCCTGCTTTCTGCCACTTCTGGTTAGTTTTGTATGTTCCAGACCTCCATATAAATGGAATCGCACCCACACAGTATGTTTTGTTTTGTTTTTGTTTTTGTCAGAGGGCAGGTGTGATCCCTAGAGACAGACAGAGAGAGGGGGAAATGGAGAAAGAAGCATTCCCTAATGGGGCATGGCATACCGCAACCCCTTCTTCTCCGTTTTTCCATCCTGTCAGGATGTGGGACATGCACACATGTGTGGTGTCATGTTTTTCAAGGGTCTGGGTCTAGGATGTGAACTGCACAGTTGGCCACATGGCATCCAGCTTGGTTAACCACTAGGCTGGTTTTTGTTTTTGTTTTTGTTTTGTTTTTAATTCCCCTAGAGGGCACTTGCATTTGACAGACAGAATGAGATAAGGTACCCTTTAATGAAGTATGGTCATGCCTCATTTCTTTTTACTCCATTTTTCATTCCCACCAGAATTTGATGTGATTTTCAAGCCATTGGGCCTGGACTTGAACCATGCTCAGTCATGTAGGATCCAACTCCCCACGCACAGGCATAACCTCTATTCTACAGGATTGGCCAAGTTCGTCCTCTTCTGTGTCTGAGTTCTTTCACTCAGATTAACGTTGCTGATATTCACTCACCTTGTGGTTTATTGCTGATGGATATGCCACAGTGTGTTGCTCCATTTACATGTTAACGTTTGTGTTTGTTAACAGCATTTAGCTATTATGCAGACATGTCTTCACTTCCTTGTGTCAATACTGAGGCAGGGAATGGCTAGGCTGTATAAGTGTGTGCTTTAATCTCGTGAGAACTTGCCAAGCCGTTCTAAGTACCTGCACCATTTCACATTCCTATCAGCAAGGTGGGACAGTTACCTGTCTACACCCTCACTAACACTTGGTATTATCAGTCCTTCTGATTGTAACTTTTCTAATAGGTGTATAGTAGTATTTCACAGTGTTTTTGGTTTTTTTTTTTTTTTTTGAGAGGTTTTTGCTATAGGGCTCTTGCACTCGCCAGAAAGAGAGACAGAGAGACAGAAAGCAAGAAATCACCCCCTGAGGGGGAAGGCCATGCTAAAATCCCCTCTCCTCCATTCTCCTCTCGGGACCTTGGGCACACGCGCACACGTGCATGGTGTGAGTTTAAGCCACCAGGTCTGGGACTCAAACTGTGGTCTACTACGTGGGAATCCAGTGACATAGCCATTATGACAACTGCTGGTCCCCACAGTGGTTTTAATTTGCATTTCCTGT